AAGACTATTAACAACACGATGACCAAATAAAAGCAATTGAAACAAGACTCAAACAAACAAAAATAGCACATAGGTAGGAACCTATTAGCATGTGATTGAGATCACTAAACACATAGATCTATAATGTATTTATGGAAGAAATTTAGATCTATAACAACTTAAACACATTCAAGACATATAAGAATAGTTTTGACACAAAATGAATGGTGAAAAGAAGAATTAAACCTCAAAGAAGCCAACCATGGCTAACCAAAATGATGGAAGTTAGGAGGAGGAAGATACTTGATTCCTTCTCCAATGGCTCCAGGATCCAAATGGTTGTGTTTGAGGCTCCTTGCTGCACCTTGACTGAATGAGATGGAGGAAAATGTGGTAGGAATGTGAAGGATATGAGGAATTGGCATGAAGCTCCTCTAGAGAAGGAGAAGCAACTAGTTGTGACCAAATCCACAAGTAAGGTTTCCTTGTGGAGAATTCTTAGGGAGAAATGTTCTCCTTGATGACTCTTGAGAAAGAGAAGAGAGATTTCTGAAATGAAAACTCATATAATGCTCAAAAGTGATCACAAAATGAAGGGAAAAAGGATTTAAATAGAATGGAGGGAAATGTAGAAGTGGAGGGAAAGTCTAGTACATAGAATTGAATTTGAAATTCAATTCTACTTGGTCATGTACTTTCCTTCAATTCACGCCCCACATCACATTGAAATCTGAAATGAATGGGATTTAGGGTTCATTTGCATGTAATTTAGTCATTCATGGGAAGTATGACTCAGATTAGGTGGAAATGAACTCTAAATTACATTTCATTTCAAATTAAAACCCATTTAACCTTAAAACTCCTACACTTAGAGATCTATGTATACAAGGTCTAAAATTCTTATACAATCATTTCTAAACTAAAAAGACAAACAAGACAAGACAAATATTGGCCATATAAATCCAAAGCCTGTGGAACCCACAATTAGGCCCAACTTGGCAATTGACACAAAATCCCTATTGTAAGAAGCCCAAAATACAAGGCTAAAATATGAAATCAATATACATGATCTATATACATAGAAGTGAACCAAATGTATGCCTCAAGATAAGGCCCAAGTAAAAAAAAAAAAAAGCTTGGGGTCACCGTTCTCTGAATTGGCTCACTCTTTATGCATCCTCCTAGCCATAGCTCTAGTTGTGGGTCCCTTAGCTAAGTTTTTTCCATCACATATACACATACATAAACAAACACTCAGACACATACACAAAAACACATATAGAGACACACACAAAGACACAAATAAACACACATATATGCAAACACACACATACATTAAAATGCAGACGCACATACAAAGAAACACTCAACACATTCAAACACACACACATAGAGACGCAAAGTCACACATAATCCCACAAACACATACAAACACATGCAGACACACATTGACACGCACACAAATACACACAAACACAAACAAATACACACAGAGACACAAACAAATACACACAGACAAATACAAACACACACCTAAACATGCACAAACACATACACACACATATTTATTCAATAATATATATATATATATATATATTACATATATT